CCTGAGCAGTCATCCATACATCCAGTTATCTCATGTTTTTTTTACCATTATGCTGGTATTGAACTTGTAGAAGCGCTGCACGGTGCGATCACTGAAGCTGTTACACAGGTTTTTCTTGACAAAGTTGGGATGGTTCAAGATGTCATTAGCCACCAACGGCTCCTGCAATCATGACAAAAACAGAAATGAAAGAAAAATAAACACAAAAAGGAGCAGGAAAGAAGGCAACTTGTTGCAATTATTAAAAGGCTATATTAAGTTGTTACTTTTACATTTATATATGTGACCCTGGTCCTTTACCTTGTGTGTGATGTGTTGTTGCTCTGCAGGGGCATGACCTTTGGGGTCGATGAGAGTGGGGTGAGCGACCAGGTACCCTCTGTCCTCCATTATGAAGCACCTACAATGTACAAACACAAATATATGTAAGACTGCAGACATAGTGATTCTTTTTCTCCACAGTGCTCAATATAACTTCAGCCTGCATAATATGGCTCCATTCTTCCCCCCCTCCTTCCATTAAACATTCTGCCAAATACTGCTCGTCTCTGCCCCACACCCCCTTTGAGCTAATCCTGTTTTATATGGCTTCTGAACACTAACAGAGAGAGCATGAAGCAAGTGGAGAGAGAGAGAAGAGAGAGAGGGGAGAAAGACAGGGGAAGAAGAGGGGACTGGGAGAGGAGGGGGTGGAAGAAAAAGGATGAAAAACAAAACAAAAAGCAAAAAGTATGTATGAAAAAAGTCACAGCTCCAGCAGGAATGCCAGGATAATCAGCTTATCTCTTCTTCCCTCTCTCTGCAAGTTTAATTCTTGCTCAGTAAAACAGAAGTTTAGCCACCCTCTGGATAAATTCAGGGCAAATGAAGCAACAGAAAAAGAATAAAGTAGGAACAATTTGTATGAGGTAAAAAGAAGATAAGCCAGCCATTCAATGCATCCTCCTCCTACCTGATCTTGTTGCCCTTGTCCTGGTTGCAGATGGGCAGCAGGTCCAGCAGTACCTTATAGAAGTAGCGTAGGGTGAAGTCTATGCCCATCACTGCAATGGCATAACCAGGGGCCATCTGAGAGCTAAAGACAGAGGAGGAGACAGAGAGAGAGAAAAGTAGCAGACAGAAAATGAGGGAACAAGTGAAGCTTTTCTGTTAAATCTCGCCTGAGATTGTGTGTTCGGCTGTATGCTGACAGAAGTACACACACACACTCTTTAAACCCGTGTTTACGCAGACTACAGGCTGCACAATGTTATGCTCACTGAGCCAGTCATCAACACGCTAATCCTGACTTATCAGACACACTGATACTGAATGTTTATGTGTATATTGTACATTTGCATGGGCCGTGGTAAACAGTTGCTATTGTACTTCTGCAAGCTAAGTTTCATTTTAAGCTCACAGAACTACAAACATAAACACTCTAATCTCCGCCGCTGTTTCGGTCTTCTTCAAGCCTCCAACTCAAAGAGGCTGTGTCCAAAACATTCTGCTTTATCTTCTATAAAAATTGGCCCAAGCACAAGGGTGTTAACACGCAGGCTCAAGGAGGTGGTTGGAATACAGTGGCTGGCTTAAGAGGGCTCTCTTTGGAAGAGCAGATAGTTAAAGATAACTGTGACTGAACCTAGATCATTTGGTTGAGGGATACTCTGTTACTCGCTACTCAGCCCTGGAGCAACAAAAACAGTCAATGGTCTCCTTTAGCCTCCTTCAGATCTCCTGTCTTCAGAGACAATGTGCTCTGCTGAAATGACTTCTGGGCTGAGAGCCTAACAGCCCACAATGGTGCCTCGGCTCATAACAACAAGGAATCTGTTAATGGAATCTGAGAGCCAAGGTATACATTCACACATATTTGTCAATCTTGCACATCAAGCAGATACAGAGCGACATTGGCATTTAAGAGCACCAATAGCTAAATGCTCCACTGTGTTCACTAGCTAGTTACTAACTTTGCCTGCCGACTAAAGCCACTAAAAGAGCTGAACCAAAACAGTAAAGCTGTAGGTCAGACAGCTATTGTAAACAGTGAGTTGAAACTCAAATACAGGAATGTTCCTAAGATTATCCTGAATCAGTTGCTTTAAAAGACATCCTTACACGACCTGTGTAAGTGGAACCAGAACACAATTGGGAAATTTGTCTCTTGTTAAGGTTTTGGTGCGTTTATTTCCTGTTATACTTGTTTGATAAAACCACTGAAATGCAAATATGCTACATGGTAAAACTGTGTACACAAAAAGTAAAGTAAAACACATAGAGAAGAGTTAGAAGTGACTCAATGGTGACAGTCAAGGGTTTTATTCCTAATGACTTTAACCTTTCATTTGTAAGAGGGAGATCACGCGTTTTCTTCTTTGAAAAGGTATATTGTCTCACTTTAAATACTTTCATTAAGCACATACTTATTCAGCATAACACTTTCTTTTGGCGCAGTAAAATAAGAGACAGCAGAGGGGTTTACTGTGGTAAAAATACACCTTTGACTTCTTACCTGGAAGCATGGATGGTGTGACTGATGGTGACAACGTAGCCCGCCCCGCCCACATCCAGGTATGGTCCCGTGAAGGTGATGAGGCCAGGGTTAGCCACAGCATGCTGGTACCTACAAAACACATCACAAAGGTAGTGGGTTATTTCATTATTGTGACTATCTGCATTTTTTCCTGGCTAATAAATTAAATGAGATATAATTTAAAATGCATTATTTATGGAAACTGGAGAATGAGAACTCTGCTTTTTGTGGGGAACAGAAAATTGCAGGAGCATTTAACATGTAAAACAACTGTGGATTACTTGCATTACAACTGCATTACTTTGGAAAAAGGTATTGTGTGGATTCACTCAATTGTTATTTTGACTAGGTTTTATGTTCATAAATTTAAATGCAAGAAGTCAAACTTTTCTGATCAGATTATACTGTATATGTCAAACTACATTTGACTTATAGCTGAATGTACCAACAAAAAACTGTTCTATTGTTAATTACCCTCTCTTAATATATATTTGTTTCAATAAAGTAGTAATAAAAAAGGTTGAAACTCTGCAAACACTGCAAAAAAAAACAAACGTGGGACTAGTTGTTATCACAGAAAAGCATGATCGTGCTCTACACAATGTGCATCTAGCTTGATTAGAAAATCTTAACTTAATTCAACTCAGTAATGGCTGGTGGCCATTTTAAGCACAAACATGTGCCTCCAGTTTGCACACATACTCATTCCCTTTAACTCCTACCTACCCAACACTATCCCCTACCTCCTTTTGCTCCCCTAAAACACACGCACACACATACACGTCTTCACTCCTGTCTCCCCCTTCACACCCTCCAAAGTAAGCCTCACCATTGTCTGCGGGTCGGGTCGAAGGCTTTGTCCATCAGTGATCCTGGGTAAATCCGGAGCACCCCACTGGGCGTTGCTATGTAACGGCGCACAATGTAGCAGTTGAGGCTACTCATTTCCATTAGTGTCATCCACTCATCCGTGACGTGACTGGTCGCCATAACCTCGTTCCTGACAGAGGACTGCAGAGGGGAAAGGGTAATCGGCTGTGAGGGTGTGGGTGGGGTGGGTGGGGGGTGGGCCGGAACACAGAGAGAGAAGAGGGATGGTGAGGGTGAAAAGAAGAGTGAAAGGGGACAGAGAAGGAAGGTGGAGGTAAACAAGGAGGGGAGAAAAAAAGTTGAGAAAGCAGAAGAAAAGTAAGAATCTTAATCTACGGTTGGCCTGAAATGTAAGTTGGCTGAATCTTTTGCCAAGGTTGCTTTCAGTCCACCCATAAACAAAATACACCTGTGAATACAAAAACATCTAAAGTTGAAATTATTCTACTGTACTGCTGCTAAGGATAGTTATAAATTGTGAAAGTATAATCAAGAAATCCCAAACAGAAAGGCTCAGAAGACAAGTATTCAGGGATAAATGGGACTCAATTAGTCCTAAAGCCCTGAAAAACACCCTGAAAAATTCACATCTCAGCACCATTTTCAGAGAAGCTTCTAAGTTTGAAAGGGGTGATGAGGTCACTGGAGGGGGGCCTTTAAGACTAGCCTGGGAATCAGAGCTGGGACTGGGGCTTAGAGTTCAAACTCTAACCCCCTCTTCCCCCCAGGACAGGAATGCACACAGACTGCCAAAACCACGTGGGGGTTTGTCCCCTTCTTAAAGATGCAGAGCTTAATTTAAAATGTGTGAATTTTAGCTGTAATGTGAACAGCCTGAAAAAAGTTATAGATATTGTAAGAACTAGAATTCAAATTACATTTAAAACATTTCTAAAACACTTTAACTATCTTGTCACCCACTGAAATATGAATATTTGTGTAAATGTCTGTAAGCTGACCGCAGGGCCGGCTATGTGTCATGCGTTTTTGTCAGGTAAACGAAATTAACCCTGTGTGCTTTCAGGCTGGTCTTAGCCATGAGTTGAAACTGTGTTCCCATGTTTGTGTACCTTGAGGCCTGGGTTGGCTATGAGCCTGGTGTTATCGCTCAGGTAGGCGGTGTAGTGCTCCACCATGCGCTTTGTTTCTGGCTGACTGAGGTGCTCATAGGGAGAGGAGAAACTACCAGCTGCCAACATCACTGTGGGGGACTCTGGGAAAGAGACAGAAAGGGAAAAAACAGACAGTCAGCGATGCTAATCAATGTTTTAGAGCTGACTATGGGTAAAAAATAAAGTTTGCAGACTCATTTATTACTCCAAGTTATCATATATTAGTCCAGTGCTGTGGATTTGGTGCCTTTCTTACCAACTGTGGCAAGCTGTTTGAAGTGCAGACAGGAGCTGGGCTGACCCAACAGGTCTAAACGGTGGTACAGTAGCTTGGAGCTGGGAGCGGTGTTCAGGTTCTTCAGCTGCTTCACTGGGATCTCCGGCTGCACGTACACGATGCACAGGATGAATGATGTGTCCTGGACCTAGAAGACATGACAGGAGCGGAGGATAAGGTTGATTATATTCTATATTTTTGTTACTGTCAATGTATCATATAAACATATCATATAAAAATGAAAATGGAAAATGTCTTACAGATATATTTGGATTGGGGGTTAACTACTGTACTGTTTTTGGCAGGTGATCCCTTCTAATAAACAACAGATTTACCTTAAGGGACCAGTGTGAGCATGTGAATAAAATACTGGGAGTTGATGTAATTTATACACTCCTGTACAAGATACTTTGTATAAACCAAAAGTCTTTCCCCATCCCTATCAGCTCTGTTTTTCAGTGTGTACCGTCAGCCATCACAGCCAGTGGTTTATGGGCCACAGGCGTCTTCATGAGAAGATAAACATGTCCAGCTCAACAGCTGCTTTCACACCACTGATTCTAAATGAACCATGCAGGGCTAGTCTGGTCCCAAATTCTGAGACTTTATTGTTAAATCGTGCAAAGTGCCAGACAAACAGTTTGTAGAAAGACCAACGTGCTTCTGATAACGTATGTTACAATGAAAAATTAACAATATGATATACAGAGGGAGCCCCTGGAAACGATTTGTCCTGTAAAATGACAGAATGGTGTGGTAACCAAAATAATCTTCTCGGTTTTTCTTTCTAGGTCAATTTACCAGTTTTCTGGCTCTAGAGAGTTCATTTTAAAAAACAGACAGCTGCCAAATTCATGGGAAAGGTGACGTGTTTGAACTCTAGCGCCTGTGTGAAAAAAACAAAATGTCAAAAGCCTTTAAAAAAAGGCAAAAAGTAAAATGCCTGAATTAAGTGTGATATTTTTACTGTTGCCAAAAATCTAAATGTCAGAAAGCAAAAAGACTCAATATGGCGTGATGTTATTGCTGTTCTGTTGCCATTTGTTCCTAAAACACGACACTTCTGGGCCTGAGAGGAAAAGCAGATTCGAGGGACAGACAGTTTCAGGGTGTGGGAGCACTTGGTTTTTATTACAACGACTAATTTAAGGTGGCGGAGGTTTGCTGGAGACATAAAGACTGGGAGCATAAATCTCTATACTGCTTTTAGACAGCAGTACAGTAATGATAAAGAGCTATAGACAGAAATGGAAAAGAGACAGAGAAAGTGCACGAGGCAGTAATTCTTCCAACACGACAATGGCTCATTGGCTCACAGCCAAAGATCATCATTTGTCTCGGCTGTGACTCTGCAAATGCTTGTTCTGCTTCAAATATATGATCCTTTTGCTCGCATTAACTCCTGACAACTTGCAATTCAAACGAGGAGAAAAATAAGTAATTGCCAATCTCACGTGTGTTCATTTTCAATTATCCTCTAACAATAAAATATTGCATCCTGTTGCATCATTTATTTAAACCCTCAGACATAATTATTCAACAGAAATTATTTGAAAAACATGATGCTACAGGTCTTTATAAGGACTTTAAAGATGCAAGTAAGACCGAATGTGCCTTATTTGTGGGTGTCTATGTGAGTAAAATAGTGAGCAGGGGATTTCACTGTTCAATCTAGGCTGAGTGCTGGACAGTTAAGTTAAAAGTCAGCAGTGAACACATGTCAGATGTGGAAGTTCTGTACGGACACCTACCAGTTTCCAGGCGTAGCTGACGTTGTATGCGTCTTTGCTGTTGTCTCTGAGTCGGTTGGCGTGCCAGGACAGAGAGGAGTTGACCGGCACAGCAATGATCTGACTGCCCAGAGGGAGGCTGCAAGAAATACACACCATTAAACCACACAAAATACACATACAATATGCTGTGTGTGTGTGTGTGT